TCTTTTGTGTTGTTTAATATTATCAATAAGAATATACTGACAAAAAAAAAGAAAAAGAAAACAGTACATAGAATCTATCTTCTATGTGATATATGTGTATTGTCATCTTTGTATTTAAAATCCAAAAATTGGCCTCTATCAGTTTTCATTTTGTTGTTTTATTTTTATTTTCTCTAAATTTCGACATTAAAAAAAAAAAGAACAAATTGTTGAATATTTTGTGGCCGTTGATTAAAACCGGGAAAGTAGCAGAAATCAATCTGAAAATCTGAAATCTGAAATCTGAGTTTAGCCAACCACAATCACTCGACGATTCCACATTCAACTTTGTCTCTTCCCCTCACTAACTTACAAAAACCCTAACCCTAATTTTTTTCTAGCCCCAAATTCCTTTTCCTTCACTCTTTTCATTTCAATCGCTCTGTCATGGAAGACGAAGAAGGGATCGGCTTAATCTTAGCCAGAGCCACCGAGCTTAGGCTCAAGATCAGCGATTGTATCGATTCCTCCAGCACCGCCGTCAGTGAAGACGGCGGCGGAAACAGTGACCTTTCTCCGGGAGAAAGAAAGAAGGATGCGATTAACGGGAATCAAGACAAGGATTATGACTCAATCAGCTCTAACGATGTCGAGGAAGAAGAAGCTGAACGGCTTTTGCGTATACGCGATGCCCTCGAATCTCTTGAGTCTCAGCTTTCTGCTTTACAGGTTCGAAACCCTAACACTTCCTCTACTGATAAATTGTGTGTATGGAATTAAAGTTTCTGCCTTTTTAGTGTAGCATTGAACATTGATAGTGTTAGTTCTGCGTTTGTGAAGGATTTGTGGTAATATGGTCTCATTTGTGTTGGTTAAACCAGAATCTAAGGCAAAGGCAACAGTATGAGAAGCAAGTGGCTCTCTCTGAGATTGATTACAGTAGGAAAATGTTGCTTGAGAAGCTTAAAGAGTACAAAGGGAAGGAATTTGAAGTACTACGGGAGGCTTCGACTTTTGCAGGGGAAAAAGTTGACTATGAGAACGATCTTCTTCTTCCTCCGTATCCTGTTCATCCTCCTGTCTCCCTTGGTTTAGATAATAATGGATACCTTCCTCACTTACCATCGAAGAAGAAATCGGATGCAAATGGGTTCGGCTTAGGAAATGTAAGAAACGAGAGAGAGGTGAAAAGTCCTGACAGTGGTTCTGAAGGCTCGAGTCATGGGGTTATTCGTTTCTTGGGCTCTGTTGCAAAGATCATGCTTCCTATCATCGGTGTGATTTCAATATTGTCTGCATCTGGATATGGTCCAGAGATGAGGAAAAGAGGCGCGTCCTTGAAACTTCTGCGATTTCTCCCGCAAAGAGTAGTCAGAGGAAAGGAAACACCGAATCAATGCCCACCCGGGAAAGTTCTTGTGATTGAAAACGGTGAAGCACGGTGTCTTGTGAAGGAAAGAGTCGAAATACCATTTGACTCGGTTGTTGCGAAACGCGATGTAACTTATGGATACGGTTGATTCGAAAACGTCTTTGTCTGTAATCTCACTGCCCTGGAATTCAGTGTGTAAAGTTTCAACCTTTTTATCTTTTATTAGATGCGAAGCCACATAAGTTTTGTTCTTGCTTCTGCTACGTAGCAAATAATTTGAAAAAAAAAGAGAGAGTCATTTTCAGTAGTATCTGTGTCTGCCATTTGATCAGATGGATTCAATGTATCACAAACTCGCACCACTTGTGGTAGGCAAAAATATATTAATTAATTAATAGTATAATGAGTTTAAGCTTATTTTATTGCGTTTTGACCAATTTCAATTAAAAACCATGTTCCATTACAGTATACTGCACATGGTTTCATTCTTTTACCAAACAACTTTATCTTAGAACTTGTCTAACAAGAACCGTCTCTTGGACAACACAAAAGGGTCATTATCAAAACCTATATATACTGTACACAGGAGATTTTTCTTAATTAGAGTAAAAGTACAGTTTCTTTAAGAGAAAAGAATTTTACATTGATCATTCAGGTTCTGAGAATATGGAGAGTGAAGGAAAGATTGTGTTCACAGAAGAGCAAGAGGATCTTGTGGTGAAGTCATGGAGTGTCATGAAGAAAAACTCAGCTGATTTGGGTCTTAAACTCTTCCTCAAGTAAGTCCAAATGATCTTTTTTAATAATTG